AGAAGCGAAGACGTTAGAATTGTTTCTGAAAACTCCTGCGAGGAAACCTGGTTCCAGCTTCCAAACGGCTGAGAAAGCCCCTGCTCTGTGCCTGTAGCTGGACAGTGAGGACAGCAGGGCAGAGACCCCCCTGCCAGCGCCGCGGAGCTGGGGACATGGGCTGCTAGGAATGGAAAGCCACGAGAGAGACTCGGCAGTTGTTTGTTTTTATGTGGTGGCCTGAAATCCCAGAGGATGACCTAGCACTTAAGAATCAAACTGGGCCAAGTGAAAGGCCAAGTTGACTTGAAAGAACCCAGCAGTGGGACCAGGTCAGAAGCAAAGTGAGTTCCCAAACTGAGCGGATCTGGTCAGAGATATATATTCTTTTTAAAAGACACTGTGTTGCTGGAGCCAGGCCTGGATCTTTAGCATCCAATAGAGCTGGAAGCAGCTCATAGGGTTGTTTTCTTTTTGCTTTGTGTTTGTTTGTTTTGTTTTGTTTTTTTTCTTTTTAAATTCATGTTTGTACAATCTTCTGGATATTATTTTTCAAGAAGGAGTAAAAGGGAGTGTTGGAAACTAACAAACAGGATTAAACCCCCGAGCGCTTAAGGAAAACAGGTTAAGGAACTTAATCCAGGATGGATATGCAGGAGCCCCGGGAGCTGGGGATGTTCCCAGAGGGGGAGCTGATGTCTGTGGGGATGGACACGTTCATCCACCGCATCGACTCCACCGAGGTCATTTACCAGCCACGGCGCAAGAGGGCCAAGCTCATCGGGAAGTACCTGATGGGAGACTTGCTTGGAGAAGGGTCTTATGGCAAGGTCAAGGAGATGTTGGACTCTGAAACCCTCTGTAGGAGAGCTGTGAAAATACTGAAGAAGAAGAAGCTACGCAGGATTCCCAACGGGGAGGCCAACGTGAAAAAGTGAGTGGATGTTGCCGGGAGCTGGGAACTGGGGGGGTTAGTCTTTGCCATTCATTTCCAGATGAAGTTCTGTGTAATTCTGACCAACCATGTGTCTTGTTGCTGTGGAAGTGCTTCCTAAACTGTAGGTGTTCAGGAATCTACCACTGAGCTGCAGCCAGTGGTCGTGTGGAGGTTGGGAATGGGTAAGGGAGCTGGTTCTTGAGGGTCCGTCTGTGCAGCCAACCCCTAACACATACCACGCCTTTAATAGCATTGCTTAAAGAAGAAAATGGTGTTTCTTAAAGAAATTCCCTTGGTTTCCCAGTGAGGAGGTGAGCTGTGCAGCTGTTGCCCAGGTGAGGTGCCAGGTGGTGCAGCTGGGGGTGTGGGAAGAGGCCTCATGTTGATGCAGTCTGTGCTGCCTGTGCCCATCCAGAGCTGGGTGGCTCTGGGGCTCTCTGGGATGGCAACTGCTGCTCCCACCCACAGCCTGGGTGCCTGGAAGATGGTCCAATGTGTTTTGCACCCAATGGGCATAGAAAGTCTTGGGATTCTTGCTTGGATTCGTACCTGACTAACAAACCTGGGAAGTAATTCAAGGCTCTTTTCAGTTGGCTTTTGCAGCTGTAAAATGGGACAAGGGTTGTCAACCTTTTGTATGTCAGTGACTCAAGATCAGTGTATGGAAGCTCTTGAAGTGCCAGTTAGACACTGATTAGCACGAGTAACTAATTAAAATTAGCAGTGGGAGCAGCCTGGTGTTTCACTCCATCCATAGGGCTGGGTGTGGGAGACTTTCCCTTTCGTGGGGCCGTGCTGCCTGCCTCTCACAGCCTGGCCAGATAGTTGTTTATCTGCCGTGCAGGGGATCCTCCTGCAGCCAAAACAAGCCCTTTCCACGGGTTTATCTGGCAGTGGGGGGAAGACTTGGAGATGTTTAGGAAACTCTCGTATCACCTCTTCAGCTGCAGAGCCGTGACCTGGACGGGTCTTGTTGCTGTTCCTCAGTTTGGTTAGAGTTTCCCAGCTCAGCTCTGAGGTATTTCACATCCTGTACCAGGGTTCCTCTCAGGAGCTGTTTGCCCTCTAACCTTCAGCGCCAGGCTGAGCTCCGGGGCAGTCAGGAATCCGAGACCTCCTTTTCTCTCCTCCGCTGGCTCGAGTTCAGAATCAGAGTGAACTGTTGGTTAATATGTAATAAACTCTTTCTTGTTTTTCTGGTAAAGGCATGAGTGCCTTTTTCCACCCTTGCCCCCTCCTTCAGTTACACTAAGAGCTCCTGCTGGAAAAGGAGGTTGTTTCCTCCTTTGTGAAACTTGTAAATTTAAATTTTTCTTCCTTATAGTGAAAAAGGACTTAACAGACACCAGGAGAGTTTCCTGGTGTCAGAACCATGGTACTGGTGCTGCGTCCTGACGTGAACTCTGTGGAAGCTTTATTCCTGTTCAGAGGCTGTCTGTGGGTGCCCTGTGGTTCGTTAGGGCTGGTAATTAAAGCAGGCAGGCTGGGCATGGGGTGGCTCTGGGTGTTTGTCTGGCTCAGCCGCACCTGCTCCGACACACGGAGGCAGAGTTTAGATGTTGTCTTGTAACCAGGGTTTACTTCAGTTCAAGTTCCTATTTTCGTCACCTTGTCCTTTTCTCTTAGTCCCCTTGTTCGTCTCCTTCCTCTCCTTCTTCAGTGGGGAAGTTTTTCTAAGACAAAATGTCACATTTTATGGGATCTGCAGAAATCTGACCCAACCAAACCCCCCTGGTGCTACCGTGACAAGCAGTAAAAACTGTTTGTGCTCTGAATAAACCTGTTGTGGGGAGAAGTGTCATCAAACCTGTGTGGTTTGACTGGTCAGGGTGGAGGGGGGGAGCAAACCATGGCTGTATTTCCAGGTACTGCTGGAAAGTGCTCTGGTAACGCTGGGTTTAATGACATTTATTGGCCAGACTCCATTAGCATTTCACTTTCTACAACTGCATTTGGGCAGCTTTGAGTGTGAGCAAACTGCTCACGTGCAATTAACAGCAGAAAATCAAGGTGTGGACTGAATCACACCAGTAGGTTCTACTTTCTTTCTTGAAAGCTGCTCCCAAGTGCAGTGGTAAGTAAATAGGTAGTTCCTGTGCTGCAGTGAGATCTGCTTCCTGTCCCGCTTGTGTCCCTTCTAGACACGGGTGTCATGTCTGCAGCTCAAGACGTGTGAGAGGTGGCTGTGATCACTTGTCTGATCTTTGCAAACGTCCCAACTTCAGCTGATGTCCTTTGAGATTAAAAACATCTCTTTTACCACCAGAACTAGCCCAGCACTTGGCACTCCTGCTCCCTGGCAATGCCTCTGGTGGGATGTGCATCAGAAGCCCCTCTGGAGCATTTGCTTTTCATAGTAACTGGAATGGTCAGGAGTGAGAGGCTTCTGAGGCCCTCGGGAATTGTTTTCTCTGCTGTAGAATGGCTGCTTGAAGTCTTAACTATTAGTCTGCTCTCTGGGGGTTTATTTCTTCACACTGAGGTGATGGAGGAGCCCTGCAGAGGGGCTGAGCAGCTGGGGCCTGTAGTCAGGGTTGGTCTGGAAGTACCCATCTCTTGGAAGGGACTATTTGCTGTTTCAGTCTCAAAACACCTTGCTGTGCAGTTCTGGCTGCAGTTACAGAGCCTGTACCTGCTCCCGTGATCTCCAGCATCTCTTACCATACAGGAAGAAGCTGCGTGTGTGGCTTGGTTGTTGGACAGATAAACTGGGTTATTGCAGGGAGCTCGTGCTGTGGTGGAGATGGATTGGTAGTGTGTCAAAGAAATTCTCTAGAAAACCGTTCCTGAGCCGTTGGCCCTTGCGTGATTAATTACACGAGCAAGTAATAGACAAGGAGTAATGACAGAAGGGACAGGGATCAGGAGACACAGAGGGTGGTACAGGTCACACCAAGCTCGGGGACCCTGGCATGTGTGGGGCTGGAGTTGCAGCTCGGGGAGCTCTGGGTGTTGGTGACATTTTTGTGTCACTTGCCCCTAACGGAGGCTGTGTCTGTGTCCAGCTGCCCAGCCCTGCCCTCAGTGCATGAACAGAGTTGTGGGACCTGGAAGTTGTGACTGAAATGTGTTTGAGACTTATTCTATAAAACTGAACAGTTCTCTGTCCCAAAATACTCCAGTTCTGCCCCTGAAAAAGGAGTCCTTCCAGGATCTGTGAATCCTGGGGAGAATGCTGAGGGTTTAAACTCTTAAGACATATTTTCCTAAATCAGTCCAGGGAATCTTCATTTCTCTTCAGTCACTTTAGAGAGAGGCTGGGTGGCTTAGCCAGCCAGGCAGTACTGTGGCTAATTACTGCTTCCTGTTAATACAAAAAATTAGTTTAATAGGATTGCCAAAAAGATGAAAGAAAATTTGGATGACTATTTATTTCTAGCAGCACAAGTTTTATTAAACTGTGTGCTAATAGCCTCACATTTTAATTAAGTTTTTGGGACTTTCTGAGTATCCCAAGTGCCTTGTACTGTACTTACCACGCTCGGTGATTACTTAGATTTGAATACATGCTCATTAGAATTCCTCAGAGGTTTAAAATATGTAGCAGGCCTGGGTTGGGACAGTTTGCTTCTTCGGCCTGCACAGAGGGAGCCTTGCACCTGCAAAGGTGGGCAGTTCTGCTGAAGAAGGAGCTGCTGCAAGCTGCAGAGGTGTGTGCTTCAGGAGAAGCTGGGCCAAAACTGACTCCTGGGGTGTCCTGTCCCTCCTGACCACAGGTCTGCCCTGCAGAACAGGAGCTCTGGCCCTGGCTTTGCTAGGCTGGATGTTTGCTTGGGTTCAATGATGAAATGGTGGAAACTGGAACCCCCAGGAGAGCTGCACTGTGTTACATATTGGGGTTGGAATGTCAGACGTCCCTGCTGGGAGTGTGGTGGGGTAAAGGGCTGGAGCTAGTGGAGTGGAAAAGTGACACTGGGAGCTTCACCTCCCTGAGCATCCCCCTGGGTTCTGATGTGGCTCTGGAGCAGGGACCTACCTGCAAGGTGAGAGCTGTGGGGTTCAGGTGGCCCTTTGGAGGCTGAGGATTCTCTCTGCTCTGCAGCTGCAGCTTTGAAGATCTTGGGATCTCCTGCATGCACATCAAGGCAGAGGTGTGGTGAGGACAGGGAGTATTTCTGTGTCTGGATGTGATGTGGCCCTGGGGAGGGAGAGGCTGTGGAGATGCTGCAGTGCTTGAGAGGATATTTAGGTAGTGGCTGGAGAACCATTCAGATGCTGACACTTGGAAAGTGCAGATCAGCACGATGCCAGCCCCCTCAGACACGGCCAGACACGAGGCTGGGCTTGGAGGGGGGAGTCACGATGTGCTCTGCTCAGTCTCTTGTCTGCAGCATCACTCACAGTAGTGAGAGCAGTGAGGTGCAGCTGCTGGTGTGATAATGAAGACAAGTTGCATCCTTGCAAGTGGAGGGCTCTTTTTGGGTGAAATAAACAGTAAAATGCTTTTCACAAGCAGGACCCGGCAGAAGTTAAGCTGCTTTGTGATGTGTCAGGGATACTAACTCGTAATTAAAGTGTGCTTTGGTGATACAGGATTACCACATCCATACCTAATGTAGTTATTCAGTTGCATAAAGACCAAATGAATAATTCTGGACTCCTCTGTAGCAACCAGCAGGAAGGACATTAATGGGTTGGTGGTAGTGCCAGAGCTGACATATGGAGCTGCTCTTCCCTGTGCATCTCCCAGCCCTTCACTGGGCCCTGGCATGGTGAAGATGTGCCAGTTCCTGTGCTGCTTCCTCAGTGCCACGTGCTTGGGATGAGCCACAGTTGTGTGCTGAGGAGAGGGTGAGGAAGAGCTGCTCCCAGGCAGAGCCTCCAGCCTGGAGACCTGCTGCAAACCCTCCTTTCTGACAGGTGATCTGAGCTGGCAGGTAACGTGGAGAAGATTCTCTGTCATGTGTCTCCTGTAAAATCCTGAAAGCTTAGACCTGTGGAGGAACCTTGTTAGTCAAGGGAAAGGCATGAATCTTTTGGCTGTATTGCTTGTTTTGGGTTGAGCAAGGATGGCATTGATGAAACTGAGGCTTGAAATAAACTGTAGGAGTGCAGAGTCTTACAGTGAGGATGTGCTCCAGGAAAGAACATTGCCTTTCCAGGCTGTCCTTGGCATCTTCCAAAACATGCAGCACGTGGTACCAGTGGGCAGCTTTGCTATATGCAGCTCTGAGCAACAGCAACACCTTGTGATTTGCACACAAGGCACCTTGCTGGGTGAGTCTTCATCTGTCAGGGTGAGCTTAGTGTACCTGAGAGAACCACAGGGAAGCCTTCCGGTTAGAAGGGCTTTTCTTCCTCCCAGAATGGTCATACTTGGAAACAGGCCCCAGACTCTGACAGTCCTGTCCCACACTTCAGGGCTTCCTAGTCTGGAAAACTAGGAACAGAATTCCATAATGGAGACTGTTCCAGGCACATGGTGGTGGGGTGGGAATGGAGGCAATGACCACACTGCACAGAGCCCAGTCTTGCCCCTTGCTGGGGTTTTCCCTTTCCCCCAGTGTTGGGGGGAGGTCTTACCACAAAAGTGACAATTGTGATCGAAATTTCATGTTAAATTTTAGAGGTAGCAAGGAAGGGTGCAAAGCTGCAGCAGCTCAAGAGGCATCCTGACAATCTGAGCAGGCTCCCTAGGCTGGTGTGTGGGAAAGGCAACTGGTGGACACACAAATCCCTGTCCCAGTGCTGTCAGTGTGAACACTAAAGTGTGGGCAAACCTCAAAGAAGGGCTGGACTGGCTTTTTTCTTGTTAATTAAAAGAAAAAAAATTAAAAAATCAGTTTAGACACGTTCTGATGAAGCAAGTGCCCATGGTCACTTACTCAGTGAAGGGTGCAAACCAGAATGGGGTTGGAGGTGACTGTGCTCTGGCTGTTCCTCGAGTGTTCCAGAAGGCAAGAGGAGCTAAAAATAGAAGTCATCTTTTCTCGGGGAAATGGGCTGCTCAGCCTCTGCCCCAGAGGGGGCTGCACTTATTGCAGATCCCCTCACAAACTCCTTCTGGAGGGAAAAGAAAATTGTTACAGAAGTATGAAATATTTATTATTCTGCTAAAGGAGGCAGGAATTAGTGTTTGTGCTTTCCAGCTGTGTTACAGGGAGTGAGCTGTTGGGATTGGGATGTTAAATGTTCCCTATGGTGGAAGCTTTCTCAGCCTTCACAGCAAAGTAGCCTCATTTCAACAAGTCTGTGCTCACTCCTGCTCTCCCCAACTTGGTCTGAGCACCCAGCCTGGCTCTCTTCATTATGCAGAAACTTCTCAGACCTCCACTAATGCTGGCTGCAGTTCCTGTGCTAATTTAATCCACTTCAGCCTTTTGGTCATTACTATAATTAGAGCGGCTGCATCACTTTGTAAATCTGTCTGCCATTTAAACTAAATACTCTGAGCTTTGCCTTGTTGCCCGAGGTTTCTGTTCAGCTGTGGTAATTTGTTTAAAAGCCATATGTGACAAAGGCAGAGTGCCTGGCCTGAACTTTAGTGGTGACATCATTAACACTACTGCTCAGGGACCCTTAAAA